GAGGATATTTGAATCAGCACATGTGAAAAGGCCCTCATTTTAATGAACTGTAGGCTCACTCTGATCCAAAGACATGACCTGGCTTATAATAATCATAATGCAAAATAAAACATGTAGATCAATAATAATAATAACCACAATTCACTGAAAGCCTATTATCTCATATGTATGTTACCTCAATAACATTTAATTCTCTATACAGTTAGGTGTAGAGTATTATACAGATGGGAGCATAGGTTCAAAGGAATTAAGTAACTTTCTCAAGGTCACACAGCTAGTTACTAGAAGTTAATATTAAAATCTTTCCATTGTGCTGTGTTCTTCATTTTATAACATGGAAAGAAGTACTTGTCCTATTGCACTCTATGAGTATTAGCCCAGCACATAGTAGTAAAGGGAAAAAATAGTAAAAGAGTGAATAAAGGAACTAAATCTAGGCTGTAACTACAATCCAGAATTAAGTTCCCTTTAGGTACCACATTACAGGGTGATGTTGACAATTTAAAGTGGATAGTGAGAGGACTTCTGGTCAAGATGGCAGTGTAGGCAGATATGGTTTGCCACTTTGCACAACTACATCAAACTTACAACTAAAATATAGAACAACTATCACTCAGAACTGTTAGAAATTGAGTTGAATGGATGTCTGACAACTATAGAATTATAGAAACCACATCCATCCAGACTGGTAGGAGGGACACAGATGTGGAACAGGCTGATCCCTCATCCACGTGTGGTGGATAAAAATTCAGAAGGGATATCTCAGGAGTGAGGAGTCCCAGACCCACACCAGCCCCCCAAGTCCAGTATTTCAGTGCCAGGAAGATAAGTCCCTACAACTGGCTGCAAAACCCAGCAGGGACTGAGCTGGTAGAAAAAACTGCTAGAGCCCCAAGCTGTTCCTCTTAAAGAATCCACACATGGACTGACCTACTCAGACTTACTCTCTCTGGGCTTTGGTGCCAGGGTGGTGGCTTGAGGAGCACCAGTGGCATGCAGGGGGAGGCTGAGGTGTCTGGCATCAAGGTAAGCAGAGGCCCTTGTCCCTTTTCTGGGCCAATGAGCTGGTGCTGTATCTGAGACTCCATCAACTTGAATAACACTGTTTGATCCCCTTGGGAGATCCCCCAGAGACTCCACCCCACCCAACTTGCAGGCCCACCCAAGATACTTTTCCATGTGAATGGCTGGTCTTCAGTAATGCTTCACAACTTCGTAAATTCTCTCAAACAAACAACAGCTGCCCTCAGTGAGCCCCTGGACCCAGCAGCCAGCCTAGGTTCACAGCTTTGCTTTGCCTGGGAATCTCCAAGTCCAGAACAAGTAGCAACCATCTGAGATTGCTTTATATCTCAGGCAGGGTGGTCCCAGGAAAACACAGGTAGGGGCTGACTTTGGCCTGCACCACCCAGGAAACCACAGAGCCAGCATACCCAATGGACAGCTACAGACCACATTGGAGTACAGTCACCCCTCCCTATATCACGGTTCACTTATTACGGCTTCACTGTATTGAAGGTTTTAAAACCCACAATACAGTGAAGTTGCAATAAGTGAACTGTGATACAGGGAGGGGTGACTGTATACTTCACTGGTGAGTATGCTGTTAAAATTACATAGGTTTAAGAGTGTAGAAAGTGTTTAAGAGCATATGAAGTGTTTATAAGAGTGTGGGAAAGGTTTATAGGAGTATGGGAAGGGTTTATAGAGCCTTAAATATATATAAATAATAAAATAAATATAACGCTGCTACTTCACGGATTTTCACCTATCACGGGGGTCTCTGGAATGTGACTCCTGAAATAGGTGAGGGATGACTGTACCATCACACTGCCCCTGTACAGCTTATCCTCTGTGGAGGATGGAGGTTGGTGTTAAGTGGTCACAGCCATTCCTTGCAGCTGACTAGCCTGGGTAAATCCCTCCCATTGACCTGCCAATAGCAACCAAGGCTCAACTCTAAGATGAAGACATACTCAGCCCACATGAAGGGTGCACCTTGAGTACCTAGCTTGGGTGATAGGGGAGGCTGTGCCACTGGACCCTAAAAAAAGTGCAGGATATTATTAACTTAATTATATTCTGGAATTGTATTTCTTTAGATACATCAGGTCATTGCTACATAAAAGTGGGAAAGATAAGGATTTTTCTGAACCAATTTCCTTTGAGGTGTTAATGATCTACCAAATATTGTATTGAGTTCTTTACATACAATTTGGGTGAAAAATTATGATATAATAACGATGCATTCAAATGGATAATTATGCAAGTATCTTTGTGTTTCTGAAAAGATTCATGCAAATACATTCAGTATAAATAAATTATAGATTAAAGTTACTGGCAGGGGGAGGGAGGTGGGGTTCACTATGTGAAGAAATCCTTTTTCTGAGTCTTTTAGTAGAGTAAAGAGCCAGCTCTTAATTTTTCTGACTTCAAATTTCTGTATTGAGGCTATCTGACATGAAGGGAGAACTATATAATATTCTGTATACTGTATCGATTGTGTACAGTTAACTTATGTAAATTAAATATGTACCTACCTAAATATGTGTATGTGCGTATCTATCTATCTATCTATCATCTATCTATCTTTCATCTGTCTATCTAATATAGGACAGGTGGTTTCACCTGCCACTCTACTCAGAAAAGACATGATGTCCTAGAAGATGTATGAGATGGGTGATATAAATCCACTCTTCCCGAGTTAATCTCTGTTCCCGTGTGCACCTCATTGTATTTCTGATGTGCTATGAGAGATTATAGGGTTTAGAAATGTTATTTTTTGCTCCATTTACAAATGTAAAACAAACCAAAATTACAACCACCACCAACAAAAACAAAACCCCAAACACAGACTGAAGCACCAGAAGCAGCATAAGGCCTTACAATTTTCTTAGCTTAGATTCACTTCCCTGGCCCCTGGGCTTGGCTGTGAGGCTGTCCTGGTCCTCCTGGGCCCCTGTTCCTCCAGAAGGTCAGCTAATACTTAGGACACACAGGGAGTGGGCCTACACCCCATCCTGGATTTCTGGGAATTGCTCACCTTGGTCACCCTCCTGGAGGGTGGGGACTCTGAATCCACCCAGAGAGGCCCAGGTCTTGAGGTAGGAGTCTCCTGGAAGTGTTTGCAGCTGTGGGGTGAGAGGCTCAGGTGGAGGCGCTGTAGTTCTTTTTGGTTTCCACCCAAAAGGAATTGGTGAGATGGTCACCACAGGCTCACATGCCCTGGTGCCTGCACCTCTCGGGTCATTCTCCAGAGAGGCCAAGGCTTCTTTGTGTCTCCACATGCCTTCCTCCCGCCTTTCCTTCCTCCCCAGTCTATGGCTTTCTGAATTCAAAAAGCTTTTCAAAGGCCGTTGGTCATAAGCTTTGGAAATATGTTTGAGCAATGGGCAATGTGTCTACGTGGTACAATTTTCTGGGAACCACATGGCTATATTTCCATTAATAAATAGTTTTTACAAGGCCTCAGAATAAGAGGATCTTCATATTTGTAGCTCCTTTCTTAGTTTGCCAGAAAATTGCTTCGCATCATATCATCTCGAAATGTTCTATTTCGCAATGACAGATGTGTATAAAATCTATTCATGGCTTTAAACTTTATTAATATTGGCTGAGTACCTATGGATACAATCACTCAATGCCCTATGCATATACACCTACATATGTAGGCTGTATTCTTTGAAGAAATAAAGGGCTAGGGACAGAAAAATGCCATTGTGTAATTTTTATAAAACCACTAGAAAATGTATGAAGTGCGTAAGCAGACAAAATGTCATTTTTTGAAAACTAGAAATGACTGATTCAAATCTTAGAAGGCTGAATTATATCAACTAAAATCATCAATATATTATGCCTTTCCCACTATTTATAAGCTTCTTCTGACTTCTTTATATTGCAAATGTTTAAAATTTAAACAAACATCAAAAGCTTTGTAACCCTCTGGGTGTCCTTTAGAACAGTGGCTCCCAAAGGCTGGGTTTTCTAATGTGCCAGCTTGGGATGAAGTTTTTATTAGTCGACAGCAAAATGAGGAAAGAAAGAAAATGTAAGTTCATTTGCCTAAAGCTAGACTTAATTAAATGAAAACAATTCTCTTCTCTTTACTTGGATATTTTTCTTACAGCCCTACTAGTCCATGAAACCATTTGGTCAACAAGATCTAAAAATATATGATTACTGGGTAGAAGAATCTGATGTTATTTCTTTGCTTTTATTTTGTGGTAGAAGAAGAAAAATGAAAATAATTCCAGGAAAAAAATACATGGAAAACCTCAACCATTATTCTTTTTGTTTTAAGATTTTATTTATTTATTTTTTAGAGAGGGGAAGGGAAGGAGAAAGAGAGTGAGAGAAACATCATTGTGTGGTTGCCTCTTGTGCACCCCTTGGTGGGGACCTGGCCAGCAACCCAGGCATGTGCCCTGACTGGGAATCAAAGTGGTGACCCTTTGATTCACAGGCCAGTACTCAACCACTGAGCCACACTGCCAGGGCTCAACCATTATTCTAATTCACAAATTTCATGCTGTTGTTTATTCAGAAGGTACCCATATAAGCTAGGCACTGGGGCTAGCTATACCTTTGGAGAAGACACTCAATGATTTACATAACACACAAACCTGCTGGGAGGCTTGAATTGGGGTGGGTTTCCCTTGGTTTGTGTCTGGGTCAGAACTTTCCAATTTCTGGTCTGAGCCAGCAACGTCTGCCCTGTTCTGAGCGCAGCGATCTCTAGCATCCAGGAAGGCGACTGCTACTGCCTCTGGAGAAGCCTAGCATCTGTACATCTGGGATTTTGATCTGTGAGCCCTTCAGACAATATTCTGTTCTCTCATAAGCTTAATGATTTCTTGGATAGTAAAAATAAGCACAAGAGGTGTCCCTCTCTCTTTCTCTCTCTCTCTCTGTCTCTCTCTCTCTCGGATATGCAAACTAAAGCAACTGATAAAGCACGCCATGGCCTAAAACATCCCAAGAGACACAACCAGGGAACACACCTTTCTGAAGTCACCCGTATCCTCTCATCATTGGACGAGTTGAAGCGATCATCCTTTTCCCTGAAATATTCCTCTATACACTGCTCTTCAAAATCATGTACTTTCTTGAGCTCATCATCAGTTATGAACAGCTCTGTGAAAAAGAAATGAGATGTGAGGCAGAGAAGTAAACGTGATGGCTTCTGGTCCATGGGCCTAGTGCCATTCCTACCCTCGACCAAGGTCAGGAGGAGGAGCCTAGTTTCTCTGCTAAGTCTCTAAATCCGAATCCAGTCAGGTGACTTCTGCCACTGTCCCCTTTCTGTGTGTTAGATTCACTGTGGGCCTCTGCAGTTCATCTGGACACATCCAGTTTACTGCAGGAACTGGTTACAATTATTGAGGTTGTAAGGCCAAAAATGTAGCTACATTCAAGGAAAGGGAAGCAAATGGAGGTTTCTCAAAAGCTAAATTTCCGGGCTGAGGAGTATGGCAGACAGACATTGTTCACTGGCTTTACTAAAAGCCCTTTTGCAACCTTATTCCCCTTCTCCCCCTTCCTATTACTGAGGCTGATAAACCAAACACACACATTCCCAGCCTCCCTGGAAGGTAGCAACAGTGATGAGACCCAGTTCAGCTCAAAAAACAAAAGAAGTCTGGGCTGGGAAGGGGTGGTGTACTGGGACGAGGTTTTACTTTCCTGATAAACTATGGTGAAGTGATTGCTTCTTTGTACATTTTTTTTTTTAACCTTTCCTTTCTCTCTTTGCTTTAAATATAAATGTGATGACTGAAAGTGCAGCAGCTATTCTGCTGCCACGAGACAAGGCTGTGCATTAAAGGAACAGCTGAGCCTAAAAATAGGACTCTGGGTCTTTGACTTCAGTGAGCCACTGTTGGCTCTGGGTTATCAGTCTAGTCACTTTTTTGCTTTTGAGAAAAATAAAAAACTTATTTATTTGTGCTGTTGTTAGTCTGTTTTTCTGTTGATAGCAGGGAAACTAATTCATAACTGATATGGGCATGGAAAATGGCCCAGTGTAAATCTGAACCTTTTGGCTCCCCGTCCCATCAGCTTTCCACTTGTCTAAATTTATGTTTCAGGTGGAAATGGTGAACTTTGCAATTCCCTGACCCTTCCAACCCTCCAGTTTTAAAGTTTAGAAAGAAGTCAGCATTGCTGTGTCAGGGAAGGTGTTAAAAGCTTCAGAATTAGAGAAACAGTTGACTAAATGGCTTTGGTTTTAACTTTAGACCTACTAGTTATCACCTGGAGGTAATTCCTGGGCCTTCATTCTAGAAGCCCCTTCAGTAGATTTAGTGTAGGTGGTCTACGTGAGAAACCATTGTAGCTTGCTTGTATGCAGCTGGGTGCCCACGGTCCTTAACTGTGAGTGGTACCCAAGGGACATTTAGCAATCTGCAGGAGCTGCTGGTTTTTAATGTGTGGAGGCCGGATGTGCTAAATCCCCTGCAAGGTGTGGGACAATCCTATACAATGAAGTTTTATTCGGCCCCAATGTTAATAGAACCTCCTTTTAGAAACACTGGGCTAGAAGGTAGATGGTGGAGAGTCTTCTGTTTTGCCCTTTGGAAAATGGAAAGCAGGGCTGGTGTCCTCATGAAGTTAGATAAGGACAACCCTTAAGGCTTGGAATACATTCAAGACTTAAAAAATGATTGGTCCAGAAATGATAATGGAAAATCAAACTTGGTCACCTGCAATTCAACTCAACTCACATAATGATACTTAAATCATATGTAATGCAAAATTGGATGCATATAAATACAGTTGATATATTTTGTAGTGGGATCTCTCGAAAGTAAGAAACTTAGAACCCATGAAAATGCTAAAACAGCTATGCTGGAGCCTAGCTTTAGCTCACTAGGAAACATGCAAGCCTAAGAATGCTTGATTTCAGCCTCTACTGTCTTTTTTCTGGCACTGTTTCTCAGGCAAGTATGCCCCCTGCTCCCCTCCAAGTCTTCAGAGTTGTCGGCAGTCTGCAGGAAGCAGGAAGAGCCAGATGGCCACAGGGCCTCCATGACTGCCTATAGGAAGCAGTAGGGCTATCTGATTTGTGGCTGCTGGGGGTTGTCACTCCAAGCTTACTCAGGCCGTAGTCCCTTTCATCTGGGTCACTCTCATGTTTCCTCCATCGGCAACACAGGTGCTGGAATATCATGGTCATGTGGCTAAAGATGATCAGAGGTGGGGGCAGAACTGGCCTTTCATGGAAAGTCATGATGAGCTGATACCTCTGAAACTTCCAGACTTGGTTGGATATTGATTTTACCTCAAAAAATGTATTGCTGAAACAGAGACCAGAGATAATCAAGTGAGACACTCCACTGCTTTCTGAAGCACCACACCCCTCCAGCACCCTCTCTTCATCCCCAGTGCTCTGAGGAAGGACCCACTTACTTAAAGACAGCGATGAGGAGGTTGACCAGCAGGATGTTCGCTACTAAAAGGTAGCAGGCCATAATGGCTGGCACAATCCAGGCTCCTGTCTTGCAGGGAGGCAGCTGAATTATTTTACCATCCTCTCGGGTCTCATTCTGTCCACAGGGAGCTGCAGGGAGCAATGCAGGCAAAAAATGAGAAATCATGGCTATTCGATTAAAGCAAAGTCTGATCGAATGAGGTTTTTTTAGATGGAGGAAAAACACAGCCATCTCAAAACAAACTGAAACAAAGAATTAAATAAAGAAAAAGCCAAAATGGAAAAATGAAAGCTTCATGAATGTCCCAAGGGGCTGTTGCTACCCCAGGGGGGACCTGGTTCCTCCTGTTTCCAAGTTGTCATCCAACGTGAAAGAGGGGGTGGAGCCCTAGCTTACTCATGCTGCCCCATGGCCCCCGACTTTCGCCGAGGGGCCCTTAGGAAGGGCCTTGGTGTCCTTAGGAAGCCTGGGGAGGACATTCCCAGGAAGCAGTGTGTGGGGGGGGGCGGGGAGCAATCTCACTGCCCCATCAAATTCCTTTCAAGTGTGCTGTGGAGGCTGGAAGCCATAGCAGTAGGAGCAGCAGCATGGAGGGGCTATTGATTGGGAATTAATACCGGGCAGCTGTTAATTGTTGCAAGAAACACCAGGGCTCTAAGTTAATGTATTTGCTGTTTCAATGAGGAAGGAACAAAACAGGGCAGCGCCTTGGGAAGTATTCAGAGGACTTGTCTCTCAGTGCTCCTGACAATGGCATTTCACGGGGCTGGGGCGTGGGGGCAGAAGGCGATGAGAGGTGTTGGGCCAGGACCCTGGAGCCTTTCTTTCAGTAACATTTCCATGCCAAAAAAGTGCTTTTCATGGCACAGGAAACAAAACCCAATTGCAATGGGAAAAAAAATGGGCAAATGGAAAATGAAAGATCTGGAGGTGGGGGTGAGGAGGAAGGTGATGTGTGGGACTGGGTGAGGGTGAGTAATGTGCTAATGAGGCCTACTTTGAATTTCCAGGTAACTGTCAAGGGAAAAAGGAATCCTTGACAAAACTCCTTAGTGCTGCACAGACAGCACAGCTGAGGGAGTGACACGGTGGCCTTGGATGCCCAGAGATAGGTGAGGTTGCCCTTTTGCTCTGGCTGTCCCTGTCCTTCTTTGGCTTTAGAACAGGGTCCTTTTGCAGCTACCTATGAGAAAGGGTATGGGGCATGAAGAAGTCTCAGCAGATGAAGATCTGCCAGGAAAGTTTGCAACGCTGACCCAGGATCTTCCTGACCAGAGTACCTGGCAAGGGGAGTCCATCCACTTCTCAAGAGTTAATGTTGCTAAGCTGAGCACTTTTCTGTAGTTGCCACCCATGACCGCACAGGGAGTTTTTAAAAAATCACCTTGGGAGTTTTTTAAAAAATGCCAATGCCTAGCTCCACCCCAGACAATTCAATCGGAGTCTCTGAGGGTGGCCTGGGCATCAGGGCATCATGGTTTTGTTCAGAGCTTCCCAGGTGATTTTCAGCTGCTACTAAGGTAAGTTCACGGAGCTAAAATCAGGCTGGAAAAGTTGTGTGATTCCTGACATGTCCTCAAGCCCAAAATACATCAATCATCTCAGGCTATGAGAGTTTTCATAATATCAGGACACTAAGACCCTGTTTTTACCACCAGAGAAAGATAGCCAAAGCACTGCCTTTGGATCTGCCTGAAAGAGGATTGGGTCTTGGAATCAGATGTTTTCAAAGAGCCGGCATCTTTTTTATACATCGGTAGTTGTGGCACTAACCACCCATGACAGCTGTCCCTTGGAAGGGAGACCTGGTGATGGAGGCCCCCACTGGCTCCAGGATGAAGTCCAAACTCTGAGGGTGGCTGGCCCAGTGCCATCTCTTGGAACTTCCCACCTCTCCCTATGAACTCAAACTGGACTGAGTTCCTTGTAGTTCCTAGAAATGTCATGCTGTCTCTCACTGCCTGATTTTTGAGCTTGGCTTCTTTTGCTTCTAAAAGCCCCCTCTGGCACCTTGCTACCACTCCCACGCTTCAGTTGGGTGAATGCTGTTCAATTTGCAGTGTTCACTTAGCTCTCTAAGGCCCACCGCAGCTCACTTTCTGCCCCTAGGTCTGGGCTAGGTGTTGACAAAGATTTTCTGCTGGACCAAACCCTGCTCAGGCTCTCCTGAGCTCTTTTCTAAGTAGGTCTCAGCTTTTGGACTTCTGTGTTTGTCTCTGCATTGTCCAATTTTAGCAAAAATCGTACTAAGCCAGTTTAGCCAGAATCCTCAATACCTTATCACTGATGATGTCATATCAGGTTTCTTATTATCCACCATCCTGCAGAGGACATCTGGTCACCCTGGCCAGCCTTCAGCAAGAATCCTGTTAAGTCAGTTTCATGAGAATCTCCCTTATCATCCTTGGTGTTTTCTCTAAGCTATTTTCTGTCCAGTGACCCCCACTCTGCCCCTGACTGTGAGTCCCCAGTTTTCCTTGTGTTCAGAGTTCAGTCCATTTTCTCTCCCTCATTACAAAGCTCCATTGCTGTGGTCCCACTCCTTTGAATAAAGTCTTCCTCACCATCTCTAACAAGTGTCACAAATACTTTTTTTAAACCAAAAAATGTTTCTTTAGTCATTCTCTCTTCCTTATAATCCCAGAGGCTCCTCTGCTTACCTCTTTGGGAGGCTTCTCACATCGTGTCACCATTACCAATGCACTCATCTGTGCCCCACCTGAGCTTCTTAGTGGGAACACTGTTCGTCCTGGTTTCCCATTACCGGACTCAGTGCACACACACAGCACATCCACATATATCCACACATGATCATGGTTTGGTGAACAAACAAGGGAGATCATTGGACAGGTTTGCTTCTTGAGCACTGACAGACATTTCCCCCAGCTCTGCAGGCCAAGTCATGATGGACAGCCCTAGCTCTGAACTGTTCTTGGCTCCTTCCTTAGGTCCTTTCCAGAAATCCCACCCTCAGCTTGCCAAGAAGGCATCTCATACTCAACCAGACTTCAGGGTCTCTGTTATGCACTTGGCCACGGGCCTCAGGTATCACTCGCTTTGCTTTTCTCTCCTCAGGGTAGCTTGCCCCACTCACCCACCCTGTCCTCTCAGCTGACCTCCCGAGGGGCTGTAGCTCCTGTGCTGCCCTTGCCTCTGATGGGTGGGGAAACCAATCAAGAGCAGCAGAAAGAACTTCTTGGGGTGAGTTACAAAGTGTGCAGTTTAGGTAGATGAGGCCCCTGATCTCCATTTCTCAATGACCTTCTGAGATTTCTCTTTATATTCTGCGAGAATCTAAACTAAACTTGTGAGGGGCAGACACGTCCATTTTGCTCTTTTGACCCCCTACTTAATGAAGCATGCAGACACTTCCTCTAGTAGGCCCTCCTCCTGGCCTCGAGAGAAAACCAGCCTTTGTGGCCCACGTGCATTTCCATGGGCCTTCAGGCAGCATCATTGATATGTCTCTCTAGATCTCATCTTGGTTCCTCTGCTTCATTCCTTGAAGGCCTCTCATGGTTAAAACATTGGACTAGCTTAATACCTTTATTAAGGTATTTACTTTGGTACAAAGGATTTACTTTGGTGTGGGAGCCCCTTGCTAGTCTTTTGAGAATTAATTTATTTTGACTTCTCCCATACTGTTTATTTATCCTGCCTTTAAAGAGATGGAATTACTTTAGTGGTTAGAAATATGCATTATAATCAGGCAGACCTGGGTTCAAACTCTGATTCCACTATTTTCAAATGATGTGATGGTAGCTTACCCCATGAACTTCAGCTTCCTCATCTGTAAAATGGGGTAGCAATAGTATGTAACATGGGGGGAGGCTGTCAAGATCATTTAATGAGATAATGCCTGCAAGCACTTAGCTCAGCATATAGCACACTAGCACTTGATTAACATTAGCTGGTGCCATTCTTAGTATTGCTGGTTCTGTAATTAATAGACTTTAAGTTGCTCAAGGTTAGGGACTATGTCTGACTCCTCTGTTTTGCAATCACTATGCATGGCACTTATTCTATAAACATTTAGTGAGTGGTTATGATAGGTTGGGTACAAGGGACAATGGGGATCAAAGAGACAATCCCTGTTGTTTAAGCACTGTGTGGGTTTAGGAGGGAGCGCAGAAAAGGAACAGAATGAAGCATTATTGTGGGATGTGAGCTCTGATGGGCTCTGAGGAAGCACTGCCGAATGGCTGTGGGACCTCTGGCTGGGGTCACGCCCAACAGTCTGGTAGTCACGACCAGCCTTGGGGACCATCATCTAGATTCTACAGCAACAAGTGCAGTACAAATGAATTAGATGATCCATGCGACAGTGATAATGATAATAAAAATGACTCAGAGAAATAGCCTTCATTTGGTAGTATCGGCAAAGAGGCAGTGAACATTATATGCAGCAGTTAGTGCAAAACACTGCTCTATAATGGCTTCTAATGATGTCCTTGCTCTGGGTATTCATCTGCATTAGAAAGCGTTCTGTCTCAAATTTACAGATGTCTACCACTGACGAGATGAACTGTGTGATTTAAAGCCCTGACAAGGAGCAGGTTTCATGATGAGGGATAAGTTACTGGATTGTCATGAGGCACCAACCGGATCTGGCGTGCATGTTCCCAGGAAAACACTCCATGGCATACCACCCAAGATGACAGACCCATGGGTGATGTTTAGGGGTGTGTGGGCTGGTGGCTACCACTGTGGTTCCTCCTTCCCTGCTTTGGAACCTGACACTTGAGTGGTTATTCTCCCAATGCTTTTTTCAAGAGGTAAATGAACAGTCACTATCATCTTCATACCTGTAGCCTCTCTCTACCTTGGTAATGGCACAGAGTGCCTCTAGTGGATGTTTGTTGGTTCCACTTGCCCAATACATATTTCCCATTCTCTGGTAAGAGATCCTGGTTTCCCTTTATGGAACCACCCCCACCCCATTCTCAGTCCATGAAATGAACTCCAATTCCATATCTAGGAGATTAATCAGTCTGCTTTATCCCCAGTCACAGCAATTGGTTCAAAGATGGACATGTGACCCTAGCCTGAGCAATCAGTGCCAATGCACATCAGCCTGGGGAGTTTTGCTGGAACTAGTTAGCATAAAACAGGTGTCTTTTTATAATGC